CTTACACGAAACGAAATCCTTTATAGTTTTCTGCCTTGGATTCCTCGCATCGTCTTCTAAACTCCGTCGCACTTCCCGCGTAGCGCGCAATATTCCTGACAGTCTTGCCTTCAACATTCTTATTAACGCCTGTCATCCAGCTATCAACTTCGTTCAAAAGCCCACGACTGCCCGCATCAATGACATGATTGGTCCAGTCACGGGCCGCTTCTTCTGTCGCCTCAAAATAAGTGTAATGATTGTCCTTGCAGTACTCCAGCATGTCGCAAATAACTTCCACGACATGCTCAATGCTTCGCGTGGCATTGCCATATGGTTGATGAGGTCCGAGCACCATGAGCATGTTTGGTGTGCTTGGCGCTGCAATACCCAGGTATGTCTTTGGCCGGTCGTCTGCCCAGACTTCCTCTTGGTTGATATCAGTCCCTGCCCGCCTGGTGAGTGGACGTCCCCCTCTGCATTCCCACTCGATAGCACTGAAGGCACCAGTAATTGCGTTGAAACCAGTAGCACATATCAGAACATCTATCTCGTGCAAGGCTCCGTCCGAAGTAATGATACCGTGGGTTGAAATCTCTCGGATGGGCCTGGACTTCAGATCCACAAGGTGCACATGGGGCTTGTTGAATGCTTCAAAGTAGCCACTTTCGAGTGGCACGCGCCGCAGGCCAAACCCGTGGTCGGGAATGAGGCTATTTGCAACTGTTGGGTCCTGTACCCGATCGCGGATCTTGCCCTCCATCCAAGTCGTGTACAGCGCATTGGCTTCTCGATCAGTGTAGGTATCGCTGAATACTCCAAGCCATTTGCTGAAGCCTGGTTCATGATAGACTCGCTCCCAGAGAGCAATTCGCTCTTCTTGGCTGACCTCCACGGACTTTCGGGGATCTGCGTCGTGTAGGAAACATGACCAGGTCTCCGAGCAACGTTTAAAAATGTCACCGTATTGCTCGCGGTACCTAACCATTTGATCCTCCGATATCTCGGTATTCCAGAGTGGCGCGGCCCAGTTAGCGGTACGTTGAAATACAGTCAGAGACAGAATGTTGGGAACCTTTGACAGCGCTGTGGTGGTTTGAATGCCGGTCGCGCCAGTTCCGATGATGCCAATGCGCCGGTCGGCAAAGTCATGGTCGACGTTAAGCGAAGCTGGCCAGCGAGAAGTGTGAAAATATTGCCCCTGGAAGCGATCGATCCCAGGAATTGCTGGCAGTGTCGGGGATGAGAGAAATCCGAGACAACTAACAAGAAATCGTGTCCGTAGTTGGTTGCCAGTTTCATCCGTGACAATCCAGTGCCATGCTTCGTCGTTCCATTGTGCAGCTTTGACTGTTATATTGAATCGTATGTAATCGTACAGGCCATGCTTTCTTGCAAAATGCCGGATGTACTTGTAAGTTTCGGGTTGCGACGAGAACGTCTCTTTCCAGTGCCATTCGGCGAGCAGCTCTTTGTCGAAGGAGAAGCAGTACGACACCGACTCGGAGTCGAATCGACAGCCCGGGTA